GACAGGTAGAAGTTTGGATTCACAGGTGCCACTCGGGACACTGCACTGCCTGACTTCAGCTTCCTTCTGCCAGCCATTCTTCTACACCTCTTCAAGCTGGTGTTGCTGAGAAAAAGACATCTCAATATAAAATAATTACTACAGAGAATAACAACAAAAAACAACTGTCAGAGACAGCGCTTAGAGAGTTGAATTCTAACGAGACAGCGCTTAGAGAATTGAATTCTAATGGGTGATTTTTTTATAGTTACTTCCTTATACTGGGAGAACTTTAAGGCTTGAGTATTATGAAGCAGAAATTTGAGTTTCTGAAATCCACTATTCTATGTACTTCTATCATTAGGTATATTTTGTTTTTCACATATAACTAGCAAAGTCCATTTTGAAATATTATCATCATTATAATAGTAAGCAGTATTAAGCAGATACTAGAAGGTTTTTCTTTTAAAAATATTTAAGCTGGGGCTGAAGCAATGACTCAGCAGTTATGAGTACTTGCTTGTTGCTCTTGCAGAGGAACTGGGTTCAGCTATGAACACCCACACGGCAGCTCACAGTCACCTGTAACTCCAGTTCCAAGGGATCCATCACCCTCTTCTGGCTTCTGTGGGCACTGTGTGCCTGTGGTGCACTTACACACATGCAGGCAAAACACTCATAAACATAAAATACCTCTCTTCCACAACTCTTTCATATCCAAAACCTACAAGATTTTCTTGTAACTAGGAAAATCAAGCCATTAGCAAGGATATTAAAAATCTTTCAAGAAAGAACTGTGACTACATGTCTTGAGCATATTTTCACATCTTTCTTTGTATAAAAACTCAAAAGTAAAAAACTATACAGGTTAGATTCTCTTGTTGGAATGGGGAGAAAAAATTAGAATGCTTACTCTGAAGATTTTACAAATACTGTTCCTTATACTGGAAATGAGACGCATCTATTAAGACAGAAGCAGCCAATGTTACACTGAAGTTCTAAGGAGAAACAAAGGAAAGATAAATGTAGGCAAAATTGGCATGAGGCTAAAGAATCAAATGCACTCCAGCCGTCAAATTAGAGTGCTCTGTTGAAACTGTTAAAACTGAATCTATGAAATTGCTAAAATATAAACTGATTCTCATTTCTAAAAACTTGAGCAGGGGTATAATCTATACATCGGATTAAATCAACACAAAGTAAAGATGTGATCCAAGAGGAAAAACCAAGCCAAACCAAAACTATTATTAGTTCAGTAGTAAATTAAATAATGCAAACAGTTCCAGCTCAGCTCTGTACAATCTAATTAAACTTCTAAATGTTATGAAGTTATGTGATATTCTTTTGGTTTTTTGAGACAGGGCCTTATTTACTATGTGATCCCAGCTGGCCTGGAACCAGCTATGTTGCTTACCCCAGGCTGGCCTCCAAGCCACTCACTTGCTTCTGCCTCCTGAATGCTGCCATGATTAAAGGTGTGTGCCACTCGCTACCTGATGACTTTTAAGACATCTTTGCCAGGGCTGGTGACATAGCTCAGCCGTTAAAGGTACACATTGCTCTTCCAGAGGATCTGAGTTTGGTTCCCAGTACCCAAGTCAGGTGGCTGTAATTCTAGCTCCAGGGAATTCAACACCTTCTCCTGGCCTCCTTGGGCATCCCCACACACAAATGGCAGACACACACAAAAAAGAAATCTTTGCCAAATACCACTATTCTTCCAAGGGTAATTTAAAACACTAAAACAATTTTGAAGAAAAGTTAAATCCTGAAGTTTAATATAGTAAAACTATCATGCATTGAGCCCTGAAAAGAATGTTTTCCATAACCTTTAGTTCTATTAATGATCCTAAAAAGGGAAATCTTAAAATAAACTGCAGGGGCTGGAGTGATGGCTCAGCGGTTATGAGAACTGGCTTGCTCTTCCAGAGGACCTGGGTTCAATTCCCAGCACTCACAGGGTGGCTAACAACTACCCATGACTCCAGTTCCACAGGATCCAATGCCCTTTTTCTGGCATTGCATGACATGGGTGCACATATATACATGCAAGCAAGCAAAATACACACACAAAATAAAAATAAGTAAACCAAAACCCCCTTTTGGGCTGGAGAGATGGCTCAGCAGTTAAGAACACTGACTGTTCTTGCAAAAGACCTGGGTTCGGATCCCAGCACCCACATAGCAGCTAACAACTGTCCGTAACTCAAGTTCCAGGGGATCCAACAGCCTCTTTTGTCCTCCCTGGGCACTGCATGACACAAGTGAACTTACATGTAGGCATAACACTCATACACATAAAATAAAAATAAAATATTTTAAAATAAATTGTGATTAATGCATTTTTCTAATTACATATTACTCAAAATCAAAGTTCCTGAGAAGTCCTGTAATAAATACTGTATTTAATGCTGTTAACCACAGTACTGTCCACATTTACTTGACGTTGTAGTATTTTATATTATTCCAATAAACATTTAAAACACATTTTATAGTAAACCTCTGTCTTTTTATTTTGTTGTACAATTTTACTACTATTGGTTACTAAATATCTGACAGTAAAGAAGAAAAAAGCAGGTCATGTATAGTTTTGAAGAAAGTCAAAGAAATTAAAATGAAAAGTAATGCACAGAATATTAATGAACTACATTTAGAGATACCACCCTTTTCATTATGAGTGTTAAGTTTAAAATAGAGAAATTTAATGAAAAGTGAAAAAGGAACAAAGAATCCATCACTCAGGAGTTTTGCTAACATTCTTGGAAATTCTATAGTCACAAAAATTCTCTGACCCTGGTAACTAAACTTTCAAGTTTTAATCTATTCTTTTCTTTCCTTCTGCATGAAGCATCCTCATCAAGATACCTATCTGCATACTGAGGCCAAACATAAGCTCCCCAAAGAAATCTTCCTTTGCTTTTCACAGGCACCTGCGTACACACACATGCACATACTCACACACAGACATGTACACACATACTCAAAATTAATAAAATACCTCAAATCTCTAGAAAATAAGAAAACTAGCTCTAAGTATTTTTAAAGTCCCCACACCTTTGTACAAGTATAAGCCACTTCAGCTAAAATTCATTAAAATGAATAGAAATATCCCAAGTTACAGGGTAGCCGTTTGAGAAGTGGTAAGAAAAAAGAAACAACTGTAAATACAAAACAGTACAGGAAAATATAAGTACTAGGGCCTTCATCTCTTTATTCACTGGTTCCAAATTAGCTATATATCCTGCCCAGAGAGCTTAACTTCTCTAAAGGTAGACAAATGAAGACGTAGGAAATAGGAGTCTGAAACACTCAGAGCCATTGACTAGTAGATTAATGTGGGATAGATCTTGAGACTCAGAGGTAAGCTTCATGTCTCCCCAGCTGCACAACTACCCAGCATGCCAACACTTCCAGAAACAAAAATCATTTCCAGTAGTGCAAACCTTCTACCACATTTTCCAAGTTTTCCTCAACACAACTCCAAATAGTTTTACTATTAAAGTTTTATTCTCATAAGAAATACTCTAGGACTTGCTACCCCCTTCTCCAAATTTTCCTGCATCATAAAATACAGATGATCTCTTAATAAGGAACACCAGACCTTTTACATTTGGCAGACATAACGTTTTCCAAATGGTAAGAACCTCGCTAGACAAAATAATCCTGTAAAGGGTTCTACTCAAGTCTGCCTTCTATAAGTACTTCCACCTGGTATATTTAAGATATTAGCTTTACATTTCAAGAATTGGAGAAAAAAGAAACGAGGATGGACAAAGAAGTCACCAATTCAAGTTACTGGCTCCTAATCACACATTCTTCTAAATAGCATAAAAATCCAACTTTGAAATTTGACTTCATTTAAAAATAGTCCTTATAAAGAACAGAAAAATTTTCATTTAAGAAGTTCTACAAAATGTATTTATGTATACTACATATAAACATATACAACACACACACACACAAACTTGTATATAAAACAGTTGCAAGCCAAGGCAGGAAGACCCCAAGTTAAGTCTGGGCAATACAGTGGGATCAAAGCCCCCCATCAAAATTAAAGAAACAGCAGCAGGATTTAAGTGGACCATGAAAACTCACTAGTTAACTTCAAGCAAATAAGTTAACTCCAGGAGCTGGGGAAACTGATTGTTTGGACTAGATCAAGAGAAGACACAATAGGTTGGGCATGGTGGCACACCCCTTTAGTCCTACCACTCTGTAGGCAGAGGCAGACAGATCTCTGTGAGATCAAGGCCAACTTGTCTATAGAGTGAGTTCCAGGCCAGCTGGGGCTACAGGGAGACCCTGTCTAAAAATACCCAGAGAGAGAGAAAGAGAGAGAGAGAGAAAGAGAGAGAGAGAGAGAGAGAGAATGAGAATGAATGTGAATTAGTTCATTAGGTCCAGTTTTGAATGCTGCTGTATCAAGGATGACAGTCAAAGATTAGGAAAAGTATATATATATAAAACAGTTATCACAACACATTGGAGACAATTTTAATAGACCAGCCTGTAAACCAGAATAAAGCCTCTTATATTTAAAAAGTAAAAACCGAACACTGACTTCCCTTTATAATCCAATCCAGGCAAGGAGAAAACATGTATCAATACATGTATCTGGTTTGCTAAAAACTCTAAAAAGAAATGACCTAATGATTGTTCAATTATTCACCAGGCTGAAATCTTAGAACACATTCCACGTCTCAAACTACAATTATGAGTTCACTAGTACCAAGACTTGCCTACATTTTACTCTGTATTGTTATATATTATGCTTGTTAATTCTTTAAAACAAAGGCTATTTTTAAAAATAAGAATGGCCATTAAATTATGGGTTCATTATTGAGTTTCTAAATATAAAGACACTCTATTGTCCAAATCTGCTTGCTGTCGTTTAATGAATTCTAACACCTCTACTAAAGACTTTGAATGCAACATCAGTGATCAGGCTGAAGCTTATTACAGTTTCTATAAGATCATAAGATCAGGATTATCTACATATCAAAGTTAAGAATGGGTCTTACCTTTATCAGTTGTTATTTTTTCTAAGCATCTGAAAGAAATAAGAGCCAACCGTTACATAAGTAATTGTGCATTTTCTCAGAACACAAATTATTTATCTTGTTCACTTCCAGAATGATCTAAAAAGCATCTACACTATGTTGTCTAAAGACAAGACTAAGTTCAGCAGTGGTAGAAATCCTCAACTGCTGTACTGTCCAATGTTAAGTCACATGTGGTTGCTTAGCACTTGAAATAGCCAGTGTAATTGAGGAACTGAATTTTTAGAATTTTATTAATGTAAATTTAAAGAGTCGTGTGTAATAAATGACAGCATGGAAGAAGAATATCATCTCAAGCTTTCAATGATGAAAAACTAATACAAAAAAAGTTGCTGTTTTTACTCCAGCAAGTGGTTATGTAAGGAAATCACTGTCCTTACTTTACACATGCAAAGAACCAAGGATGAACTGACAATTCTGAGAGGTGTTCTAAAACAGTTCTGCCAAAAAAGGGGGCTAGGGAGGAAGGTATAGCAAGAACAGCTTAAGACCTTGGTGAAAATACCGAGGTTTCATTATGCTGCTCTTTCAACAATTTTCATAACCAAAATTTAATGAACTTTAAGAGACTTTTCAAAACTGTTCACTAAATCTAATAAAAATTTCTAAAAAGACGACAGATGGATGCCCCAAATAAATTAACTAAAACTTTACAAATTAAATAGTAAAAAAATGTTCAAAAAGTTAAGATGCCCCCGATTTAAGAAAAAAAAAAATGTTGAGGGTCTGGAGAGATGGCTCAGCAGTTAAGAGCACTGGCTGCTCTTGCAGAGGACTCAGGTTTGGGTCTCAACACCCACATGGCAGTTAACAGTCTATAACTCCAGTTCCAGGAAATTCAACACCCTCTTCTGGCTTCTGCAAATATGGCACAAAACGGGTGCACTTACATACATGGAGGCAAGACAGTCATACATAACTTAAATAAAAAAAATTCAAGTGATTCCCATGTTTTTAAAATATTTTATTTTTATTATTTTGTATATGAGTGCACTGCCTGAATGTATGTGAGTACACCCATGTCGTGCAATGCCGTGGAGGTCAGAAGAGGGCTTCGGATTCCCCTGGAACTGGATTTAAGGACGGTTTGCAGCCACCATGTGGGTGCTGGGACTCGAACCTGGATCCTCTGCAAGAGCAGTCAGTGCTCTGAACCGCTGAGCCATCTTTCCAGCCCCAGATTCCCATGTTTTTAATTTAGGAAATCATTACATGTAACTGGTAGACAGTGAGTGCGCTCCACTCATTTCCCAACTGCAAAAATAAAATAGCTTGGGATTGGTTATGAAGATCCACATAGGGGGCTGGAAAGATCAACCAGCAGTTACAAACACATGTACTGCTCTTGCAGAGGGTCTGGGTTCTGCTCACAGGACCCATATCAGAAGGCTTCTAACCACCTGTAACTCCAGTTCCAAAGGATCCCATGCTCTCTGGCATCTGTGGGCACATAAACTCATGCAGGCACACTAACATACACATAATTTGTTAACTACATAGTAACTCTGCAGTGCAAAGATTTTCTTCTTTGCAAGTAAACCTAATGTCATTAACTAAAATCTTTACATACTGTCATTTTGTGTCATGTTTTCAAGGTTAGCATTGCAGTAATTTTACTTTAGCTTATACTATAAACTTCCCAATTAACACAAAATAATTGTGAGTTACCCTAATTTTAGTAAGTGGAACACTAAGAACACACCTGCTAAGTATCTAGCCTGAAAATTTTTTGAATACTATCTCTACCGCCACACTGCCTACCCTAGGTCCCCAATCACTCAGGATCCCACTGAAGCCTTTGAGAAAGGGAGGGCTGCAGGTTCTGTTCAATTCAGAGGATCACCACCTCATCCATCATTTGCACTATCTGTAACCCAGAGAAACTACAGAACCTGCCACCTATAGGCTCATAACCATTTTACTTTTAGCAAAATGAAAGAGAAAACTCTGAACTCCATGCACTAGATATTAAACATGTTTTCTTCATATGTCACTCATTTGAACCTAAAAGAAAACTCCAAACACTCGGGTTTTGGTTAACAAGGTTATTCAACAGCTACATTATAGTTTCTGAAACTGTATTTTTTTAAAAATATTTTACTTATTATTTTTACTTTATGAGTATGATTGTATCGCCTGCATGTATGTAAGTGCACCTGTGTCATGCACTGCCCATGGAGGTCAGATAAGGTCATCGAATCCCCAGGACCTAGAATTACAGACAGTTGTTAGCTGCCATGTGGGTGCTGAGACTCGAACACATATCTTCTGCAAGGCAGCCAGTGCTTGTAACTGCTGAGCCATCTCTCCAGCCCCAGAGGTACACAGTGTATGTTTAAAGAGTCTTAAAGTCTAAAATGCACAGATATCCAATATTACACAATGGAATGAAAAGAAACTTTGTCCTTTAAAGCTAGTCTTAATTTGACAATTTCACTCTTTCCATAGCGGTACTGTAACATAAAAATAAGAGTTAGGCATAGTAGAATACAACTTTAATCCTGGCACTTGAGAGGCAAGGGCAGGTAGATCTTCCTGAGTTCCAGGCTAGCCTGTCCAGAGGCAGTTCCAGGCCAAACAAGGATACATACTGAGACCTTGTCTCAAACAAAAACAGAAACAAACAAGAGACAGGACCCTCAATTATGGCACCAATGGTCCTAGCACATGCTTGTTATACAACACCGGCCTCTGATCCAATAATCATAACTACACTGAGGGGCCTAATTCCTAATAACTACTTTTAGAATGATTCTAGCCTTTATGCCTTTCTTGTGCACATATTCACTGAAATGTTTACTTTCATTCATATTATCTGTTCTTTTAATTCTCAAAAGCTTCAATATGAAACTGTTATGCACTTAAATTGATGAAAGTATAACCTATTTATTATCCAGCTTAAGGCTCCTTTCACAAATTCAACTCATCTCTCAAAATGTCGAGTGACTGGCCCAAGGTCACCCAATGAGTGGTACAGAGCTGACACATCAAGTTTTTGCCTCACCTTCAGGCTTTTCTCCACTATATAATTTGCCTTCCAAAAGCAGCACATGGTTCAATCAATCCAAATCTGTCTTTAACCTCTTAAAACAATTCTATGTATTTTGCTTTCTCTTTGAGAGAAACAAGCTAAACAGCTGATTACTTGGGTCTGGGTGTGGGGGGCAAGGATGTGCAATGGATGGAGAAAGAAGAGGAAAGAAAAGGATCTGAAAAGAACAAGTAATTAGTATGGAGATTAAATTGCTCACCTCCATTTTAATCTGTCATTTTATTTGGAAAGAGATGCATCAAGGTCAGAGTTCAGTAAACTGACACTCAAAAACATTTGAAATGTCTTAAGGGATTAAGTAAAAAATTAGTTTAAAAATGAAACTGTCACTGAAAACCTGTAAACCATGCACATAAGTTTGGCCAACAACTGCTAATCAATGCACAGGCCCCTTCTTTCCACCTCAAAGTCCTTGAAGGCAAGCACCAGGTCTGCAGCCAGTACACTATCAGTACGAGGCCCAGTTCCTTTTCAAAGGAAGACTGCAAACTTCAAATGTGCAAAAACAGTACGATAAATTCATTTAAGCAACCTGACCAAACTGTATAATTTTAAATACATGAACAAGAGATGACTGTGAAGGTAAAGAAGTAAAGGCTATTCTTCCGATTTCTAGTATTATTCCCTCTCACAAAGAACACTGGCCAAAAACAAACAAGCAAACAATCTTACTGGGATATCCAAGAGCAAATGTTTCTACCAACAATTATATTGCACAAACAAAAAAGTCCTTTAACAGTCTTTCATGTGAGGGAAACATAAATCATGAGCAAGAAAACCTGCTACTCTAGGCATAACCAACCTGAATCAGATATACTGAACTTTCAACTGGCAGATGAGAATCAAAAAACATGAAACTTTGCAGAACTGACACACAAGCCACCAGCACAATCCACTCCTATCCCTGCCTCTGTACCATTTAACACGAAACAGCAAGTTTTACCCAGTATTTACCTATGTGTCAGGCACTATGTAAAATGATGTGCATTTAATCCACACAAACTCAGGTCACAGGTTATCCCTCAACTGTCTAGAAAGAAACGGAGGTACACACACATAGTTTAAATAATCTGCCCAACAGTTTTATCACTACGATTAATGATACACATCTTTTCATGAAATGCATGTACTCTCAAATCAGTTCAACAATTTGTGACAACTTTTACTGACCACAGAATGGTCGTTCCTTATAAATTCTGCTAGCTGAAATCACAGTGAAAACTAAGGAAATGTTTATAATAGTAAAATATGACACCTTTGTTTCTTACTGCTTTCAGAGAGGTTTCAAATGTAAGTATTCGGAGCCACAGATTTAATTTTGGAACAGCCCTGTTCTTGCACTTTAAAAACCTACTAGGTCTAATCTAATGTAAGCCAAACCGTACCACTATCTCTACCGGCCGGATGGAGATGTGAAAACCTGAAGTCCTTCCCCTTCAATTTTTTCCGCCTTAATTTTTTGCACTTGAAAAGCAAATGACATAAAACGCTAAATAGTGAACTCAAAGGTTAATCGAATACAACTTATAAACCCATCGTCTCCAACAGTTAACATGAGAATCACATTAATGAACAAAGTAAAAACTGTGTGCTCCTGGGGATCTGTTAACGGTTTCTCTACGACCTCTCCGTAATAATTCTTTTCAGCTCAATCTATTTTTAAGAATGCAGCACCTTCGTTAAAATGTATGCAAAAATACACACACACACACACACACACACACCCACTAGGTACTAAAAAACACATCTCATTTAGTTGCAAGAAAATACTCTATGCTTCAAAGTTGGTAGAGCCACGTTATCACTCTGAGCGTGTCGGAAAAGAACGAAAACCAATGTGAAAATCTGGGAGAGTGGGAAAGGCTCCGGGCAGGCGAGAGGGACCGGGCGAGCACCTTCTGCAAGGCTGGGGATGTCCTAACGGAGATGCGACGTGACACTCGACAGCCGGGGGAGGGAAGGGGCGAGGCTGACAAATAGGTATGGAATAGGACGGGGGCGGGCGGCAGCTGGGGTGCCCCTGGCGCCGGGGTGCAGTGAGCCCTCGGCCCAGCCGCGTCGCGCGTGCGGAGCCGGCAGGGGGCAGAGCAGGCGGGTGTCACGTGGAGCGGGCGCTACGGGAGCCGAGAGGCCTGCGTGCGGACTGGAAGGGGTCTCCCACCGCCGCAAAGACAGCGTTACTCACTGGAGTCGCGGACTCTTCTTGCCCTGAGCTGGCGACGGGGGCTTCGCGGCCTGGGCCTGTTGCGCGGCGGTGTCGGGAGGCCTGGCGCTGGGGCTGCTCCTCCGCCGACGGGGATACTCGGCCTTCCTCCGGCGGGACACCGCGGCGGCGGCGGCGGCCGCAGCGGCCCGGCCGCGGTCCCGACCTCCCCTCAGCACGCGGCTGGTCGCGGTTTCCGCAGAAGCCGCCGCAGGCGCCGCCGCCACCTCACCTGGCTGCGCCTGGGGCTCGTCCGGAGCCGCCGCGGCCGCCGCCGCCTGTCCGCCTTCCTGGTCCTGTTGCTCCGGGGATCGCGGCTCCTCCGTCTCCCCCGGCATCGGGCTCGTCCGTCCCCCACCCCCTCGTCCCAGGCGGTGGAGGCGGAGGCGGCGGCTGCCGCGACGCAGCTCCCCCCGCCCCCCCCCGGACTCCCGGAGCGTCCGGCTCACTCTCTCCGGAGCGCTTCTCTTCCCCCTCCCCTCCGCCCGCTCCGAGGGTGCCCCCCCACCCCCTGCCACTCAAGGCCCGCGACCGCCGGCGGCGAGTGCGCGCGCGGCCGCCACACACTTGCAGCGGGCCAATCGGGGAGGAGGATCGGTGTGCCGGCCCCGCCTCTTGCGGCCTCACAGGCAGCGACGTCCGCGGTGCCCGCCCCCCGCCCCTTCCGTCAGCCAATCTGGAGCCGACTCCAAGGGAGCGCGCGAGGTTTCCTTCCTCGCGCACCCGTTCTCACCGTTAAACGGCTGTCTCGCGACAACCCCAAAGTGACCTTTTCCCCCCTCGCAGCGGAGCGCAGGCTAGGGATAGTGGGAGGGGCAGGGCTGGCGAGGGAGGCCAGAGGGAAGAAAAGGCACCTTTACCCGCCTCGCGGTCGCCCGCGGCTGGCTGCGCGCGCACCTGCCGCCTGGAGGCTACGCGGGCGCCTCGAGGGCTCTAGCTAGCCTCCTTGAGGCCTAGGAAGTAGCCTGGGCGTAGTTACGCCTTCTCCCCGACCCCACCTTCCTGTCTCTGGCCTTCCTGTCGCCAGCGCCGCCAGCTCTTGCGGGGAGAAGGGGGAAATGTTTTGAGCTGTCGCTTCGCCTTTAAGAAAAAAAGGCCCCGTCCGTTGCCGGATGAAAGTCTCTGAAAAAATGGCGGCGGTGGGACAGAGGCGGGGTTATGGGGGCTCTGAGGGCCCACCGCTTGGCGCATGCGCAGTGCCCACTTAGCCAACGGCTTCCTGGGAGTTGAAGTCCTAATTAATCTGGGTGGCCAGGAAAAGGATGGGAAACTACAGGCGGAGTTTTCCACTGATCACCATGGGAAAGGTAGTTTTCTCTCCACCGTGTGAGTTTATTTTCCAGGGAGGCAGTGCTTCCGGGTTAGGCCGCAATGCCTGCCTACCTCTGGGCTCAAATATTCAGCCAATTACTGGTTAGGGTTGCCTGGAAGAGTTTATCCTACTCCGTACTTTTAAACTTGGCGTTCGCATAACTATTCTAAGGTGCCCTCGCCATAATCCTTATTTACTTTGGAACTGACACCTCCTTTGCGACCATCTAGCCACCGTTCGTTATTCCTCCCTTTCTCTTGTGAGGCCCTGGCGGTCAGGGACTCATTGCGCTTCTGTCACTTCAATTTTAATGAAATTGGTAGAAAGCTTTGTAAAGTTGCTTTCTTGTTGGATTTTGGAAGCCTCAGGGAGCTGGCTTTGCTTATTTAACCTGGCTGTGGTCTCTGAACCAGAGGGAGGGATGAGCTGTTTGCGTGACTTCAGTGACCTATGTGCAAAAGGCTAAGACCCTGAAGTCGAACTTGCGGGCCACCTCCAGCCCTCAGGCTACAGGCCTCTGTGGTTTGTAGGTATGTAGATATTTCCACTGCACGGGAAGCACAGTTCGGCGGCTTTGACCGAAAGTTCTTTTGTGCCTATTAGCTTGTGCAACAAAGTTACCTTCCTGCTAGGTAAAGGAATGTCTCCATTAGGTCAGGCTGGAACTGGCAATTCTGTAGCCCCTTGCATTGTTTCTTTCCCTTCTATACATTGTATGCATTCGTTCCTTTCCCTTTTATACATTGTATGCATTCCTTCCTTTCCCTTTATACATTTGTATGCATTCCTTTCCTTTTGTTACATTGTACGCGTCCCTTCCTTTACTTTTTACATATTGTAATCACGGAACAACCTGCTAGGGCAGTTTCTTACCCTGGGGAGATGAAAATATCCAGACTTATAATATGCACAAGAAGGTAGAGGCAAGATTTGGCGATCTAATTCTAAATTTCACACTAATCATTAAACTGTAGACAAGTAGCTAAACCCATTTTTCTTACCAGCGTTTGGCTCAGTTGTCACACAGTTAAGGCTAACGCCTGTGCTGAGGATTTTGCTCTTTCTCTAGAACTAATGTCATTTTCAGGTGTAAAAACAGCGTCAATGGGAATTTTTTCAAGCTGTATTTGTAATGAGCAGACTTGGAACAGCACTGACATCCAATGGCTACTTAAAGTAATACAGAAAGGGATTCTTAAAAAGAGATCTTAGTAAAAAACACAAAAACAAAACAAAAAAAACGACTAATGCATTGTAGAAATCACACACCCTGGAGTAGACTCTGAATTATATAGTAAGTAACAAAGCTATCTCTTCTGTTGTTTTACAAGTTACTATTCCTTGAGCCTGTTTGCTAGTAAACATGGCGACAAAGCCTACTTCCCAGGGCCACAATTAGAGTTCTTTATGTACTGCCTTCTCAGAGTAGACCTTTTATAAATGCTTTCTTTCAAGATGAACAAAACAGTGATAAAACAGGATGAAAAAAAAACATTACTCACTTTTTAGAGCAACTGTTATAAGGCAGTTTAACTATGCAGGAATAAACCTTAAATCTTCTGGATTGATTTTCCCATTAGAGGATATATATTTGCATTTTGGACAACTGTGTAAACCAGTACCTGAGAAGCCAGACATGATTCAACTTCTTTCCTACTTAAAAGAATTTACAATCTGGGCCATTGAGATAGCTCAGCAGGTAAAGGCACTTGCTGTCAAGACTGATAACCTGAGTTCATTTCCAAGACTCACATGGTAGAAGAAGAGAACTGGGTCCTACAAGTTGTCCTCTGACTACCAGTGTGTGAACATGCACACACACGCCCACACCCCCCCCCACAGTAAATAGTCCAATTTAAAAATATTTTTGGAAGAATTTACTATTTATACAAGATGGCAGATAAGCATGATTTCTAAAATAAATACAAATGGTGAAATGAAGTTGGTCCCTTTTAGATGGGAATTTTAAAGAAGGCTGTATTTTCATGGCCCTCCAGTTTCCCAGAAAGAAAGAAAGAAAGAAAGAAAGAAAGAAAGAAAGAAAGAAAGAGAAAAAAAGCTAGCATGGAAAAACCCCACAAAAATAAACCTGCAATTTCTATGAATTCAACATAAATTCAAATGAGTAGGTGTTCATTTTTGAAAAATCTCTTTTTGACTCTTTTATCACTTTGGCCAATGTAGTATCAAAATCTAAATCTTGCACAACTGCCTTTGCATGTCAGCACTATTTTAAAAACTGTGCTACTAGCGGGGGAAAAAAAGAAAATTGTCAAATCAGAAGTGAGGAAGTGCTAAGCAAATACAGGAACCAAAAAGGGCTATAGAAGCTGCTTTGCACTGTCTCGCTCAGTTCCGTTGTGTTCCCCGTCTTCACCACAGGCCAAAGCAGTTCTTCACAACCTGCCCGACCAGAGCATCGTGGTTGTGGGATAATGGAAGAGTTGGGTGAGTTGGGTGCTTCTTGGAGAAGACACTCTAAGGAAATGTGGACTTAGTCACCATCTCCATGTGCGACGAGGCATAGTCTAGTCAGATGGAGGATGTTGCTGGGAGATTTTTTACACTTGGATCCTCAGCTTAACCAAGAGTGAGGCAGGAGGAACTATGGCTGTCTGGGGGGAACTGTGGGTTCACGCTGCAGCAGCACAGCAGGCAGAGAGTTCAGTGCTAACCACAGAGCAGACTCTGTGTTTTCAGAGGGAATTTTGATTGAAATGGCCATTTTATTCTGAACATCTCCTTAGGCAGCTATTGGAGTTCATAGATGTGTGATAGAAGGTGATTGTGGTGATGTCATTGAGGGGAAAGTAAGGAGTTGGGAGGGAATGGAAAGGAAGGAAGAAGAAAGAAGACTGGGAAGGGAGGAACGGAAGAAGGGAGGGAGGGAGGGAAGGAAATTAGGACAGTAGTAACAATAAGAATTCCCAGAGGATGGAGAAAAGCCAGAGTGATTTCATTTGTTACATAGTTTTCTATTAAATCAGGGAGATAATGCACCGGCATTCCAGTGGTTTTTGTTGCTAAGATTTTTATTCAGAGGAATCCTGAAAATTACTATGGCCTGAAATATAGATTATAGATTATCATATAGAAAAAACCTGGGGGCAGTTTTATTGCAGGTAACTATGCCAAAGGTCATGTTCCAAATAAGGTCAGGCATCCATGCTTGGTGGCAATTTCCAGGTAAGTGAGGCAGAGAACAGGAGGCCCCTGCTGAGAAAGGGAGTCCTTCCATGTAGCGCCATGCCCCTTGGGGCTATCTGGACATGGGGGACTACAACCTTAGCAGCAGGGTCCTCCAGCAGCCCACTTTGGGGCAATTAATATCAGCCGTGGAAATGTAACAGGCTACCATATTCAGAGAGACCACTGATTTCAAATCTTTGGAGTCCTGTAAAGTTTTTGTTCGTGGGACACATTTACTTGACTTTGACAACTTGTTTTTTTCCTGCGTCTTAACACTGAGTCACTAACTTTCGCACAGTTTTCCTATCTGTATTAAGCTCACATTGTCCCTGGGTTTGTGTTTGTGGACAAGCCCAGACTGCCAGCAGCAACAAAAGCGTATTCCTTGAGCATTGTCTTTAAAAAATTATTTGGCTAGGCATGGTGGCACATGCTGGGCATGGTAGCACATACCTTTAATCCCAGCATTTGGGAAGCAGAGGCAGGAAGATTCCTGTGCATTCCACATAGCTCCATGCCAGCCAGACCTACAGAGTGTGGCAATCTTGCCTCAAACAACAAAAAAATAAAAAGCAAAAAGCAAAACAAAAAAATCTGGGTTGTGAGAGCAAGAGAAACAGAGGAAAGAAGGGAGGAGATGGTAATGAAGAGAAAAAGTTGGTATTTAATAAATATCGAAGTGTTGGGGCAGTAAAGTACATTTTGATACTGGGGTAAATGCTGTATTTGAGAGCTTGGTGTAGAATCTGATCCTTATCCTGTGTGAGCATTGGGGGGAATTTGTGTTTCTCCAGTGTCCAGTTTTTTCTTTATTTTATGGGTACCAAATTTTATTCCAAAAATTAAAAGAAACCTAATACTGGACAAATTCAAATATGCTAATCAACTTACTGTCTACAGTGATCTCTGGAAATAGGTATTGACCTTCTTTTTTTTTTTTTTTTTTTAATAAACTCTAAGGAGCACCTGACACCAATAGTAAATTACAGGTTACAAATTCCTCTGTGTTCAAAGTGTGTCAGTTCAGGTGGCCAGTGGAGCAACACATTTTTTTTTTAATTGTGTAGTTTTGCATTTTCTGAGCACAATCAATGTTAGAGAAATCTTGTCCAGAAAATATAAAGTATCAGTTGGTAGCTTGGAAGCTAATCTGTGCAGCTTATCCAGTTAGCTACAAGTCAGCAAGACTGCTGGTGACTACCCCTCAACAATGTCTTTAAACTGTCATTCTTCCCCTGCTACCCCAACAGGGCATGGTGATACATGCCTCTAAACCCAGCACTCCTGGGGTAGTGGCAAGGGGATCAGGAGTTCAAGGTTATGTTTTGCTGTATAGCAAGTTTGAGGCTAGCCTGAGCTACCTTACAAAACAAAACCGAAGAAAGCAAGGGATATCTGCCAGGCCAGGTGTTATGGTTTACACCTGTAATCCCAGTATCAGGATGCTGGGCAGGAAGATTGCTATAAATTTGAGGCCAGCCTGGGCTACTGAGTTAGTTCCAGGTAAGCCTGGGCTAGATTGAGGCACTGCCTCAAAGAGCAACAACAGCAGAAACCAAATAGCTATCCCCAAAGGCGTGAGGTGGGTTTCTCTTCCTACCAGTGTGAGCAAATGTTTTCTCTGTGCAGAATATATTGCCTTAGAGGTTGGTAGCTGCTATCCACCTCGCAGGTTTTCCCTAAATCTTCCCTAGATCCTTACAACTTATCGAGACCCCTAGAGACCTCACTGTACTCCTGACATGTTAATATTTAAGTTCCACAGGTCAAGGACTAGGGAGAACTGCACAGTTTTCAGTCTAGCATCCCTTACCCCCAGTAATCTCATATTTGTCATGCTGAAATTAGTCATCTTTAAACTATAGCATTTGCATTATGCAAAAGGAATAACCTCAGGGTGCTGGTGAAATGTGTCTTCACAGGAAACAGGAACCGAAAGGCCTGTTAACTCATGAGCCAGAAAAGAGTGTTTTAATAGATTTGGTGAGCTGAGGCTCCAAAGGGTAATCCATAACCTCTGTGGAATGGTAGTCCCTCTCCACAATCTTTAATATAAATAGATTCTTATTGATCTAGGAAGATCTCTAACTTCTGGTTGGAGCAAGCTTAGAAAGCAGAAAGAAAAGGGCTAGTGGGATGCTCAGTGCATAAAGGTGTTGAGCTGGATCCTCAGGGCTCACAGGATGGACAGAAAGAACTGAATACTCCAAGTTGTTCTCTGAACTTCACATGCACCCATACATATACACTAAATATGTGGTTTTTTTTTAATTTCAAGAGAAAATAGAAAGGAAAGAGGCTCTATTTTACAGAGAGATGTAGAGTGAAAATTGGGAATTCTGAAATTCAGAGTTGAGTCTGGCTAATAAAATCGAGACAAAAGTTTTACTTTCATGTTTTGTCTTCATTTTCTTTACTCTTAAAAGACAAAAACAAAAACAACAGCAAAACCTTTCAAGGGTCAGGCATGGTAGCACATGCCTTTAGTTCCAGAACTCAGGAAACAGAGGCAGGTGGATCTCTCTGAGATCAAGACCTGCTTGGTCTATAAGGTCCAGGTCAGCTAGGGCATCATAGGGAGCCCTGTCTCAAAAAAAACCACCAGTATCAATAACAAAAACAAAAAATCCAAATAAAAGAAAAACAAAGCCCCAAAACCCTTTCATTGGAGAGAATTAAAAAATATGCAAAGTAGGCAAAATAGTTTAATGAAATGTGATATACCTTTCAATTAGTTTAAACAGTCATCAGCTCTTCATTCATTCATATACCTTTTGTCTTTTCCATTTGTGTGTTGTTTTAAAGAAATTTCAGATATTAAATTTTTTATTTGTAAATATTTCAGCCTTAATCTATAACATAAATAAGTATATACTTGTAAAAAGAACCAGCATAACAGTATCATACCACAATAACCAATAGTCTTAATGACAGTTCCTCAGTATCATGAAATGCCACCATCACACCTAAAATTAACTGAAGTAACTTTAATATTACTATTTTCAAATACTCAAAATAGTGTTTGGTATTATTGGTAAACTATTCAATATTGTTTTTTAACACAAATGCTATCAATATCCTCAGTTGTTTTATTTTTTAGAGTTTATTTAATGATCTAATAAAGTTCATGCATTGAAATTAGTTACATGTTAGTGTTTATTCCTTGAAGAATAATTTGACCTAAAGAGTTTAGTTAAACTTGCTTATTTGTAAAATGGTACATAAAGGTCAATATTTTGTGATACTGAGAAAGTTTGATACATTGCTTTTGTGAAAAAAAAAAAACTTAGATTTTTCACTATAACGTTAAGAAGTTGTCATCCTCAGGCTGGGGGTGTGACTCAGTACTAGAGCATTTGTTTAGTGTATGCAAGTCTGTGGGTTCAATCATCAGCACAGTAAATTGGAGAAAGTGGGGAGAGGATGAGACACTTTTGAGCTGGGCAAAAAGGCACACCCCTGAATCCTAACACCCAGGAAATGGAGGCAGGAGGATTGTGAGTTTCAGACTGGCCTGGACTGAATTCCAGACCATCTTGACTTACGACATCCTATCTTAAAAAAATGAAACAAAAATCTAGTCATGACATACAATTTGAAAAATTTTGTTCTATCCAATTGCTTCCTTATGTAGAAGAAGAAAGCTCCAGAGAGTGTCCTGCTTTAGATGACTCAGATAGTCAGTACTGTGATGCTGGGAACTCCAACATGTAGCTCTCACATATCTTGTCGAACTGGGATCAGAAAGCTCCGAGTGGCATCTGGTTCTGCACTCATGAGCCTGTGAAAGTCATTCTGTGTCTTTCCTGATACAGGAAATGAAGATGACATGTCATCCACCTCAAAGTATTAGAATAATTTAAAGAAGAGTCAGCACTTGGGCATACCATTGTGAAGGCATGTGCTAATTTTCTTTCATTGATATGATTCATGTCTTTGTAGTAGAAAAGTTCCAAAACAGCACTTGTGAAATCTGTTGGTTTTCCTCAAGAAAACTACAAAAGAAGTCCCAATGATTTGGATTGCCACATCTTACTTCATTGTGCAATATCTTTGTTTCTTTCCCCCCTAATCTCTTGTCCTCTCCACACCCTAAAAGACATATATATATAATTCTTGGAATAACTCTTGAGATGTTAGACAACAAAAATCAGGGTTAGAATACATTGCTTTTTTCCCCAATTTTTTCATTTTTATTGAATTATTTTTTATTTCATACAGAACATCTCAAACACTCTCAATCATCTTTATACCCTTGTCCCCACTGGCACTCTCCCATAGCCTCCCCCCCCCAACTGGAGCCCATATACTCTGTCATCCCTGTTAAGGCCCACTGTGCCATATATTTTGAAAAATGGTGATAAAGTTACTTATATTTTTCCAGTAGGAAATACATTAGGATCTTTTTTTTTCTAATTGGCTTTTTTTTCATGTGTGTGGGTCATCTGTGTCAAATGAATGGTTAAAAACCAAAATCTATAATACAAGAAATCAAATTAAGAGTGAAACTATGAAATTGAATGCAACCATAAGAAATACCAAACAAACCATATGTAAGGAGGCACAAGGAGGCATTAGACATCTCCTAGGACAGGTCATACTCCTTAAGTGAGGTAAGAAAAAAGGGAGGTGTTGGAAAATAGCCTTCATTGTTAAACCAAGGGCACCATGGGAATATGTAAGAAGAAAATGGTCCTGGATACTTGCATATTCTATATTATAATTCTCTTGTTTCTTGTGATATAGATGCCCTGTTGGAGGAACTGGAACGTTCCACCCTCCAGGACAGTGATGAATATTCAAATCCTGATCCTTGTCCCCTGGAGCAGAAATCCAGCAAGGAGAGTAAGCCTCCCAAGACTTCAAAGACCTTGTCCTCTCCAGGCAATACCAGTCCCTTGCAGGTAACTTTCATTTATTGTGGTACTTTAGATAGAGATGTTTTGGGTGCATTTTTGAAAACTATTTGTATCCCACATAAAATGATATTAAAGGAGAAGCCTGTAGAGAAGAATGAAAAATCTTCAGTATTTGAAGATGGTTGGAGAGAGGAAAGCTAAGAAAATGATCGTAGAATAAATATTGAACCTAATTTCTTGCTAGCAATGAATGGATAGCAGAGTGTTCTCTAGCTCATGCTGATATTGTGATGTAACTCTCTGGGCATCGAGGTTCTGTGTTGCAGTTTGATTGGAGCTGCATTCAGTAAGACCAGAGATCACCTGGAGAAGACCAGGTGGCGGCTTAGATGGGTTTTCTTGGGATGACTGCAGGGTCTTTTTCCTGCTGAACAGATTCAGAGATTCTTGTGTAGCTAGAGATGGTGAAACTCTTGGCATCTACCACAAAGTAATTAAATTCATAAGAAATGATTTTTTAAAAACATAAATCCAGGACTGGAGAGATGGCTCAGCAGTTAAGAGCAGTGGCTGCTCTTGCAGAGGACCAGGGTTCACCAGGGTTCAGTTCCCAACACTCACATGGCAGCTAACAACCATCTGTAATTCAAGTTCCAGGGGACCCCAACATCCTCTTTTGGCCTCTGCAGGCATTGTACAACATGGGTGGACTTACATCCACACAGGCAAAATATTCATACACATAAAAATAAATATATAAGTAAATAAATAAATAAAATTGAAACAAATACCTCCAGAAATCCAATGTGTTCATTTCTGATTAAGTATTAAACTATCGGGTAGAACAGATACCTCCCTCTGCTGATATTTGTTTCCTCATCCTTTGGATAAGTCTGTGCAAACCTTAATTACAACTAGAGCATTGAGCAATGGAGTTTGTGGGAGACACTGAGTGCATGTTCTTCATACCTGGTGTTCATGAACCCTGACGTTCTGATTCATTCCTGTACACACCATAGAAAAGCGAATAGCACAGACTGAAGTCTAAAGGCAGGAATACTTTCCACCTCTAATTTTTCTTTCTCCAACACAGCAGCCTCCATGATCCTTTTAAAATCTAAGTCTGATGAGGATATTCTCTGGCAGTGACTTCCCATCGCATTTGCAGTAAAACCACCATCTTTTATGTAATGTTTTCACTTTTTAAATGTTTATTATTATTATTTACATTAATACAAGACAGCATGGTTTAACAGATATCTGATTCTTTGGTATCTTTCACTGTCTCATCCAGTTCTATATATAACACCCAGGGGGATGGCTCAGTCAGTAAGGTGATATGAAAGCATCAAGACCTGAGTTCAGATCCTCAGCATCCAGCAAAAAATTGGGCTCAATAGCAGGTACCTACAATCCCAGTCCTGGTCAAGCAGAGGTAGGCAGATTTCTAGGGCTCAGATAGCAAAATCACCAAACTCCTGGTTCAGCGAGAAATCCTGTTATTTTATTTATTAAAAAAGATAGTGATTGAGGAAGACACTCAGTGTTGACTTCTGACTTCCACACACATGTGCACACATGCGTATGTGTGCTATCCTGTAGGTATGCATAACCACATAAGCTTATGTGGACATGCATACAAAAGAAACTGAAAACTACATATGTTGTGAACAAAGTGATCATCTTATGACTAAACCCAAAATATGACTAATAACTCTTTTCCTGATGTTGTCCTTGTTCAGACAAAACCTCCCTAGCATCACCCTTTCCTGGGTAATGTATGCAGTGCAGACTGAGGACTAGGAGGTCAGCAGCCCCACAGCTAACCCCTGTGTCTTCAGTGGTAGCAGAAAAAAAATTGAGGCTTTCCCCCCTGCTGGCCACTTCGGTAATTACCAATCATGCTGGACTGTGGTTCATGTGTAACATGCATGGAGCTTCTTTGGGTCAGTAAGTAATATGGAAATCAAGCGTAATGCCATACAGGTGATATTTAGGAAGTAGAAGTCATGTATTTTGTCATGGAGAATATTATAATATGATTTTTAAAATTTTTATGTGTATCAGTGTTTTGCTTTCATGTAAGGGCATCACATGCATACAGTGCCTGTGGTAGTCAGTAAGCATCAGATTCCCTGGAACTGGAGTCACAGATGATTAGCCACCATATGGGTGCAGGGAACAGAACCTGCAATTTTGTAAATCTCTTGAGTATTTATTTTATTATTTGTTAGCTGCCTTCCTCCTCTTCTTCTTCTTCTTCTTCTTCTTCTTCTTCTTCTTCTTCTTCTTCTTCTTCTTTTTCTTCTTCCTCTTTTTTTTTTCTTTTTGAGACAGAGTGCCAGAGTGTTAGCACTTTTAAAATCTTTCTTTGTTTTTTGAGAGAGGGTCTCACTGTGTAGCCCTAGAGGCTGGCCTCAGGCTCACAGAGATCCACCTGCCTCCGCCTCCTGGGTGCTGGGGTTAAAGGCATGCACTACCATGCCCAGTCACTTTTTAAGTTTTAACAATAAATCGTTTTATCAGCTGGCTTAAAACAAAACTGAACACAAATCTTCAGGCTTTACCTCCTCAAAGCAGTTATGATGGATGTGTAACTTGTACAAAACATTTGTCAATGTTTTCTAGTCACCAGGGGGATGAGGAGAGATATCCTTGTACCTTTGAAAGACAGAAGAGGGATTGGAGAGATGATTCAGTGGTTAGCACTGACTGCTCTTGCAGAGGACCCAGGTTCAGGTCCCAGCACCCTCATGGCAGCTAACAGTTATCTGTAACTCCAGTTCCAGGGTCTCTAATGCCCTCTTCTGACCTGCTGGCATTACACACAGGGGTACACTTACATATATGCAGGCAAAATAGTCACACATAAAATAAAGAAAAAATTTAAAAGCCAGAAGACAAAAATCAGGTGAAAAAGATATAGCAGTACTTCAAAATTTGATACTTAATGTTAGAAGAATATTTTATATCAGTGCCATTGGAGGTCTCAATTAGAAAATTTGTAGAAATCCAAAACCTTTGAATTATTTTTCTCCTATGGCACAGGATCAAAATAAAACCTTTGGAAGTTCATTTTCCAGTCAAAAATAAAACAACTTCTTTAATTACTATTATTATTGTTATTATTGATCTTTTTGAGACAGGGTCTCCCTGTAGCTTCAGATGGCCTAGAATTCACTATGTAGACCAGGCTGGCCTCCATCTCACAGAAATCCACCTGCCTCTGTCTCCCAAGTGCTGGGATTAAAGGCATACACCACCATGCCTGACTTCTTTTATTATTATTGTTACATATACCTACATACATTTATAAACACACACATATACATATATATATATATATATATGCAATGTACTGAGTTCATTTAGTGGTATGTCCATTTGGGATTAGATAACCATAGGAGCTAGTCCTTAGAGAAAACTGACTCTCCCTCTCTCAACATCCCTTGATTGTCCATAGCTCTTCATTGTGAGGTGGGACCCTGTGACATTACCTACATCCACTTTGGCATGTTGGCTGATAAAACAACTGATATTGCTACTGTCAGATATTTAGTTGAAAAGTTCAACATTGAAGCTAAAAGAAATTTAATGGTGAAAATTTTATGGTAAAAATAAGAATAAAAATCTAGGCTGGGCATGGTAATGCACACCTTTAATCCCAGCACTCAGGAGGCAGAGGCAGGCGAATCTTTCCTCTGCCAGGCGAATCTTTGTGACTTCAAGGCCAGCCTGGTCTACATAGTGAGTTCCAGGCCAGCTGGAGCTACAGGGAGACCCTGTCTCAAAAAGGCCCCCTACCCCCAAAATGTTGATGGAACACAGCATCGTGGTATTCTTACCAACTTAAAAACCAACAGAGCAGAAATATACTTGGAGCTACTTGTGATGTGCACGAAATTTTTGATCATGCCTAAACAAATGACAATGTTCTGCCCACAAAAATGGAAGCTAAAATTGCCAAGATTGGCAAATGGTTATGCAGTGTATTTACACAGACTATATAAGTAACTGGTATATAAAACTCCTTTTCTTTTGGCCAGAAGCTGGTATGAAGGACAAAGAAACATCTAAGCATGAATGTGTACAGGTCTGTCTGTGTTGCATGTTACCCTCTGCATTTTGGAAATCCCTGCTCTTTGAAAACGCATTTTATAAAGAAACCAGAATTTAGATTGCATTGTGTACAAAATCAGCTGCAGATCTTTAATCAAATTATTCAATCAATATAGAGTGAAAGCTTGCTTCCTAGCAGGCTGCAGTCATGTACAATTAAGCTTGACAGAAGGAAGCCGCTCAAGTTTCTCCCAGCAAAGACTAAGAGATGAGAGCTCGTGGAGCTTAATTACCTAATTTGAAAATTGGGCTTCTGAAAAATTTTTACTTTGATGAAGTTTGACTTCTGGTTTTCATGGGATAAATCTATACACCAAAATGGAAAGAAATTATGGAAGTTTGTGATATTTTATTTATCCAGGCTTAGAACAAATGTTAAAAAAAGAATCATCAAATTGAGACAATATGCAAGTTTGGCCTCATAAGAGTATTATTGGAGAAAAGTGCTGTGAATGGAGGGAGGAAGAGAAAACACGTGAAAATATTGTCCTGGACATGGAAGTAGGAGGTGTTCTATGTGGGAGGGAAGAGGCTGAAAAGGCAGGGTTGGGGAAATAGGAGAGCAACAAGGGGGAATGGGGTGGAAAGCAAATATGCATTCTTTTATTATACACAGAAACACACAGACATAAATAACATGAGCGCAGAAGGGGATGGGAAGGCAAGTAGGAACAACGTTCAGTGATGTTCATGCATGAAGATGTTACGATGAAGCCCATTATTTTGTACACTGTGCTGGATAGCTTTAGTGTCAACTTGACACACCTGGGTAGAGGGAGCCTCCACTGGGAAATTTCCACCATTGGACTGGCCTGAGGCCTTGTCTGTGGGGGCTTTTCTTGTTTGTTGAGTGATGTGTGAGGGCCTAGCCCACTGTGGGCATTGCCACCCCTGGGCAGATGGTCCTGTATTGTATAAGAAAGCAGACTGAGCACAGGTCAGAGGAGCAAGCCAGTAAGCATTGTTCCTTCATAACCTGTGCTTCAGCTCTGCCTCCAGGTTCCTGCCTGGAGTTCCTATCTCGGGCTCCCTCAGTGATGATTTGTGATCCAGAAGATGGAAGGCAAATAAACCCCTTCCTCCCCAAGTTGGTATTGGTCAGAGTGTTTTGTCACAGCAACTGAAGGCAAACCAGAACACACACTAGCAAAAAATATTTTTTTAATTAAAAAAGAAAATATTGTCCTGAAGATATTTGCACCTTTTCTTTTAAAAAGCAGAATTGAGAATATCTTCCTCAGAGCAGAATGTGCCCTTGAGGTTAAGGCTCATCAGTGCTGGAGGAAGGTCATGAATCTGCTAAACACATTATGGTCCACTGAAAAGCACAGATTAAATCTACCAACATTGTCAAATCTATTAGCCATAAAATGCCACTGTGAAGAAGACTGCAAATTCAATAAAATAACAAAACTATATTTTTTAAGAAAACAGACATTGTGAAGGAAAATTCCCATATCACAATGTTAGACACAAGATTGGCTAAGTCAACAGTTAAGTAGGTGAGTCTGTCAAGAGTGATTATTTACTTGAGCTATTTTAAATGTTTAAATAATCAAAGAATACCTAAGAAGTTTCATGCATATGGCTATCTGTTATTTAAACTTACTTTGGAAAACTTTATTTAGAGAATGAGTTTCTCTAGGTGGTTGTAGTTTGCATCTGCTACATCAGCGCTTGGGAGACTGATGCAAAAGGACCGGTAGTGCAAGGCCAGCCTGGGCTACATAGGAAGCTAGATACCAACTTGGGTTACATAAGACTCTGATTAAAAAAAAAAAAAAAAAAACTAAAGGAAAAGAAGTTTTGAGTACAATTATTATTATTGCTATTATTTAAGAAGATTACTGTATAACTTAGGTTGGCCTCAGACTTACACTCCTCCTGCCTTAGTTTCCCAAGGGCTGAGATTAAAGGTGTATACCACACCCTCAGCTCTTGACTAGAAATATTTTATAGGTCCAATAATACAATAAAATGACATTTTTGTCAGTGATATGTACTTTATCAGGGCATGGTAGTGCATGTTTTTAATACAGCACTGGGAGGTGAGACAGAAGGATCATGAGTTCTAGACAAGCCTGACTACTTCGACCCTATCTCAAAAGGAAATATGTATGTGTATATTTGTGTATATACTTTAGAATGACAGAACATGAATTACTTCTAGAACCCCCTTTTGCCCTCCAAGGTATCTCAGCTTGAACTGTGAGGGTGTGTTACTTCCTGCAGACCCAGCTTCTCTCCCTGTGTCACTGCACAGGCCACACGGGCCTCCTTTTTCCACCTTCCCTGTCATTTCTTGCTTGTGGATTATGTTACCCTGACACCTACTTCCTGTTTTCACCTCCTGTGAGTCCTTGCTCACATGTCTTCTATTCAGCAAGTTTTCACCCATCGACAGATTTATAGCTGCTACTTTCTGAATGCTTCTTTTCTTCCACCCCTGACTAATTTTGTGGATTAATTTGTGTTTATTATCTGCTTCTTGCCAAGAAAATGTAAGGATTATAGCATTCAAGTCTTGTTTTGTTTTGTTTTAAGGAATCTAAGCTGGCTTTGAGTTCATTATATGGCATAGGAGGATGACTTTTTACTCTGATCTCTGTCTCCACCTCCCAAGTGCTGGGATGACAGGCTTGTGTCATCTGATTTCTGTGGTCCTGGGGATTGAATCCACATTTGTGGGACGTTACACAAATATTCCACCATCTGAGCTACATCCCTAGCCCCTAGGACATTCAGTTTTCCAGTGGTTATTTTTGTTTGATGTTTTGAATATACCATTGTAGACCCTGGTGCATAACAGACACTCAAGAAGTATCTGTCCAGTGAATACATAAATGCATTGCCAGCCAACCAACCACATGTTTTATTCAGATTACTCCATTTTTTTTTTAATTATTAAGCCAGGTGTGGTAGTTCATGCCTGTAGTCCTAGCACTTGGGAGGCAAAGGCAGGCAGATCTCTGTGAGTTCAAGGCTAGCCTGGTGGTCTGCATAGTAAGCTCCAGGTCAGCTGGGGCTACAGGGAGACCCTGTTTCAAAAAGACCAAAAAATTATTTATTTTTATATTTTTTATGTGTCTCATTATGTATGTAAGGGCACCTGAGTCATACAATGCCTGCAGATCCCAAAAGAGGGCATCAGATCCCCTGGAATTGGAATTATGGACAGCTGTTAGACACCATGTGGGGGCTGGGAATTGAACCTAGATCCTCTGCAAGAACAGCCAGTGCTCCTAACCACTGAGCCATCTCTCCAGCCCCACATTACTTCTTTTTTAAAGCCAAGTTTAATCATGTTATCACCTCCCTCTAGGCACCATCCTACCTAAAAGGACTTTGCCCTGTCATGTCTTGTTTATGCTTCCTATCTGAGGATGGTACACTTTTCTATTTCCTTGTTTTTCAGGTAGGAAGGGGGAACTAGTATTTGCTCACATGCTTAGAATTTAACCTTTCTCTAGGAGACAATTGGTAATTCTTCTGCCCTTGGAAAGGAGATCTAACCAAGCAATATACTAATTATTACCTTATTATTGTTTGTTTTGAGACAGGGTCTTACTGTGTCACCTAGGCCAGCCTCAACTCATGCTCCTCTTTCCTCAGCCTCTCATGTAGCTTGAATTGCAGGTGTGTACCAGTATGCCCTGCTAGTCATGCATGCCCTTTAGAAGCTGAAAGCCTCCCCCATCACTTTCCATGTTGATGAGCACCAGCATTCTAATACAGATGCCATCCTGATCTTTTCTTTCACTTATGTTTTAGGTGCAGCTTGTGTATACTACCAGAATCCAGGAACCTAATATCTACAGGTATGCTTTGGATTCTATTCAGTAATTTCAAAATAGAAAGTTATTGTCACCAATATTCAAGCGATAGTTTGGTTTGTAAAAGCTTATTACTTGACCTCCTCCAGTGTCTTCCTCATTCCATAGTCTTTGAGCAGAGGTAGAAAGTCCCTAAGCTGACTTGGCAGCCTCTCAGGTGCCTGGCCTTCAGATACCTCTTTCAGCCTGGTGGGCTCTGGCATTTCCTGTACCACCCAAAAAGGGCAAATCGTCCCAGAGTCAGCACAGATGTCTGGCACTTCTATTCCAGATGCATGCTCCAGTTCTCAAAAGAGAAAACACACCTGAAGAAACTTAAGCAAGAGTCCAGCGACGTCAACCCTTGGACCAGGGCTGATGTAGGATTGCAGGATTCGGTCATAGATGCAGGGGTGCACTCAACTTTCCATGCCTGCTCCAAGTTTGTTTAGGTGTGCAAGGGTTTCCTGTGGCAAATGTTACTAATGGAATACCTTCACTTGCTAAATCATTTCTTCTGGCAAAAAACAGAATTGATGGTCTGAAACAAAAGAAAACAACAAAACCCCCCAAACCCCTGGCAAGCCCATTTTTGTCTGTGTGTCTCTCTTTAATCATAGCTTGCATTTTTTTAAAAAAGCATCAGATACTTTCCTGGGAAACAGTTAAAGGGCTCACAGTACAGATGGCAGGGATTCATGCTTGGTACAGAGCACTCCACTAAACTACCCAGTTTCAGAACAACAGCCAGAGGTGTACACACAAGAAGCAAAGCCAGGGAAAGGACTTATGCTATATGAAGCCTTTTAAAACTTCCCACCTGAGGGTACTTTCTGCTCTGGTGGTAGTGAGGTCCCTTTACTAAAACACATGTTGCCCAGCTTCAGGAAGTGGTAGGTGAATACTTCCTCATAGTCTTGCCCTACTTAATAAACAAAACAAACACAAACAAGGCAGCAGTGCTGGATGCACAAAAGGCTCTCATCAGAGATAGGATTTCTTAAACCTGGAAAGCCAAGATTTCAATAGAAATACAAGGAACACTCAAGTACATAACGTGAAAAGCAGTCCAAGCACCAGGCATCCTTGTACATGTCTGACTTTGCTCTCAGTTATTTGCATGCCAACACTAGCTTTTGAACATCCCTTCCCACAATATGGTTCTCTGGCCTCCTTTCCCTCTTTTGCTCTGGTACTATAGCCAGGGCCAGGCCATTTTGTAAAGCTCGTCCCTTAACCTGCTTTTCTGGGTTCTTGTGCTCCCCATGTTTATAGTAGATTCTATATACAGGCCCCAGACCAACAGACTCCCTTTCTCCCCTGCCAGGTAAGAATAAGAGATAGCCTGACTGCAAGCTTGCACTATGCCCACGGATCACGTAGCATAGATGTTTCCCCTCCCTCTGAAGTGCATGTGAAGGGTCCCTTACTCTGCCACATGGGCCTGAACTTTCCTTTGTGTCTCCACCGTGTTTTAATCTCCTTGTCTGCCTATGTTAATAATTATTTTAATAAAGCTCTGATTTAAATAGCAATCCATCTTAGTGTCCTCCTGGAGCTTAAACCTGAGACCTCTCACTCTCCAGCAAGCTGACCCTGTTTGTTGGATTTTCCAAGCTCCGGGGACAGTTGGCTCTTGTGTGATGTGACCAACAGGCACTGTAGAGAGTGGAGTATGCAAAACAGGGAAATAACAGGGCATTTATCCTGTTTACTTTCCAATGTCTCTGTCAGCTGGAGTGTGACAGACCTGCTTTGGTTCCAACATACTGACCAGGGCCCCTGGGCTCCGATGACTTTTGTCATGCATTTTGTCCTTTTAGCTTGGGTAGTGATGATTTACTGCTGTAGCCAATCTCTGGTTACCTCAATATCTTCTATTATCTGTATAATCAAGTTTCTTCATTAAACTGGTTTGTAATTTCTGGACTGGACTTTGACTGGTAAATGCTCCATTACTGAACTGTACAGTGGAGGCATGTGTGAGTGAATGATATAAAATCCATTCATAAATACATTACAGACCTTTATAAACTCCTGAATTGTTGCATTTCAGAACCACAAATACTAACATGCACTGATAGAACACTAAACTCAAAAACATGGTTCCCCCGTCTGTTTCCACCAGGTACTCTGGCTTGCATAAATGAACTGAACATTGCTTTCAACAAACCTTGAAAGCGTATTCAATACCAGCTATGACTATGGCAATGGAATGTTCCTAAGGCTTTGAAATTAATAGCAATATGAATAATACTTTATAGATGTTTCTGTTACATGATCAAAATAATGATTTTTGGTAATAATAGGGAAGAACAGTTCATAAAATAGAATTAAAATAGAATTAAACAGAGCACATGAAGCTTCTTTCTTAAGAGGCCTACATTCTTTTGCATGCATGCCTTGTGATTTGTATTATTAAAATCTCTGAGTCACAAAGTAGGTTATGGATCATGGCATAGTAAAACCACCTTTACTATATTTAAAAGGTCGGGGGACAGACTGGAGAACCTGCAATTTGAGGTTCTTCCCTTTTCAAGATAATGGGCCTTTAATTTGTAATCAGGATTCTTCAAGGTCTCTTTTTTTATTTAGAATAGTATACTGCTGAGTGAACTAATATTAGACTATTATGATAGTGGTTTACTTCTCCTTATATACTATATGAAGACTCTGATTTAAAAGAATATGGGACTTCTTTGAATAAGCACAAATATCCCTAACTGTGAGGTAGACAGGTTCTATGTATAGGCAGGTCCGGATGAGAAACTACATTTGGAGATGTAGAAATATTTCAGCTGGTAAAGTGCTTACCATGCAAGCATGAGGACTTCAGCTTGACCCCCTGAATCCATGTAAAAAGCTGGACATGTGGCATGTGTTTGTAATCCCATTGCTGGGGAGGAAGAAACAAAAGGATCCCTGGGGCTTGCTGGCCAGCCAGCCTAGCTTATTTGGCAAACTCCAGGTCATTGAGAGATGCTATCTTGAAAAACCAATGTGTACAGCATCTGAAGAATGGCACCCAAGGTTGTCCTCTGGTCTCCAACATACGCACACACATGCATATGCACCTGCAGGTACATTTGCACCCTCCCACACAACTACATTTGTTTTCTGCTTGGATGTAGAGGTGCAGACTGTGCTTATAGTCCTGTCCAAGGACATGCTGGTGGTGGCTGCAGCTGTTACTCAGGGATTAGCACCTGAAAGAATTTGAGAATTCCTCTAGTCTTTCAGAGCCTCCAAGAACTGAATCAATCACTGAATACCTATTTACTCCCAGAATTAGAAACAAGCAAAAATAAATCAGATGCATCTTACAAAGGGCCATGTTGAATTTAAAAGATAGTATATTTTACCTTAAGAGACGAAGTTATCCATTTTCATCCTGCTTTTTATTAAGTACTCAAAACTATGTGTCAGCAATGGGACACATACCCTAAACACAATCCTTTCTTAAAATTTGAGAGAGCTATCCCTTTATCTTCTGCTTCTTTCCTGGCTGGCAATTATATGAAAATAAGTAATATAAAATTCATATTTCAGTTTAAAAAATATACTTAATGAAAGACTGAGCATTTGCTTTTATGTCTTTGCATCTCTGTGTGTATATGTGGGTATGAGAGATAGAAGGTAGACAGACATAGTATTTGAAAATGTTGTAGCCTTTAAACATTATTTTTCAGGATAGAGGACACAAACTTTGAAAGAGAGTATATTTTCCATGTTGTTCTTGCCTCTTAAATTTAACAATGTATTTTAGAGTTATTTTTAGTTTGCATAAGTCTCTGTGTGCATTTTTCACAGTTGCATACTATTATGTAAAATGGGTAAACCATAACTTAGTTGACTGTAACTCCATTAAGTTTATTTTTTTATTTACTCAAAAAAAAAACCCATAAGATAATGAATTTTCCTTGTTGCACATTTATCTTCATATATATGTGTGTATGTGTGTTTGCGTGCGTGCGCCTAACTTTTCCATTTTGCATTTTAACCACTGAGCCATCTCTTCATCCCCAAGTTTATTTTTTTCTTAAACCTGCTTTTTAAAAAGTTTAGTTCAGAGGCTGGAGAGATGGCTCAGTGGTTAAGAGCATTGGCTGCTCTTGCAGATGACTTGAGTTCAGTTCTCAGCACCCACATGGTGGCTAGCAGCTCACTGTCCATAACTCTAATTCTGAGGAATATGACCCCCTCTTCTGGTCTCTGGAGGCATTGAATGCATGGGTACACTTACATGCAGATAAAAATACTCATACACATAGAATTAAATAAATTAAAAATACTTTGGGTTTCTATTGGCTCACCTTTTCTAATAAAATATTTTTTGAGACTTTCATACATGAGTACTGTGTTTACATCATTTCCACATTTTCCACATTTCCACTCCTCACTTCCTCCTCTAACTCCTCTCATGCTCCTGTTCCCTTTCCAGTTTTTGTCTTCTTCTTTGATTAGTGCTACATATGCATGCATATGTATATTATATATATTATATGTATACAATGCACTCAGTCCATTTAGTGGTGTTCCTATGTACAAATATTCTGGACTGACCACTTGGGACTAGATAACCTATCAGGGATCTCGTCCCTGGAGAAAACTGATTCTTCCTCCCTCAGCATTTATTGATTGCCTGTAGTTCTTCATCTAGAGGTGGCATTTCCCTCATCCACATTGATTGGCCAGCTGGTGTTGTCATTATGCAGGTTGTGTTTAGGCAGTCATACTGTGGAGATTTCATGGGGCAACTTTTCCCTGTCATGTTTAGAAAACGCTGTCTCAGAGCAGGCCTCCTGGTCCACTGGCTCTTACAATCTTTCTCCCTGTCTTCTGTGATGTTCCCTGAGCTTTAGACATAGGGATTACTTTGTAGATGTATCAGTTGGGGCTAGGCACCACACATTTGCTTATTCTATGCATTTTGACCAGTTGTGGAACTCTGTAAATGTCTCAATCCATTGCAGAAAGAAGCTTCTTTGATGAGCATGAGAGCTATACTTATCTGTGAATGTAATGATAAGTACTTAGAACATAGTAAGAAACTGCATTTGTTTAGGAGAATGGCTGTAGTCGGTTCTCCTCTAGGTCTAGGACCTCTCCAACGATGGATACTCAGCAATGCCTACAGTGTTAGCATTTCAGACTTTTATCCCCTTTTTAAAAAATCCTTCATCACTCTAAGTTATTAAAAAAATCTTCCATTTTCTTCTATTTTAAATAAAAGACATTTTGGGCACTGGAGAGATGGCTCAGTGGATAGGAGCACTGGCTGCTCTTGCAGAGGACCTGGGTTTGGTTCCCAGCCCACATGATGACTAACAACTGTCCAAAACTCCAGTTCTAGAGAATCCAGTGCTTTCTTCTGACCTCCAAGGGCATTACATGACATCGGCGCACTTCCATATATGCAGACAATACACTCTTACACATAAAAAGATAAAAATAATAGAAACCAACTTATTTCTATTTTTAGTTGCATATGAGTATATGCACATGAGTGCAATGTCTGTGCAAGCCAGAGGAATCGAATCCACCTGAAGCTGTAGTTACAGGTGGATGTGAGCCACCTGATGTGGGTGCTGAGACCCAAACTCCAGGTCTTCCAAAAGAAAAGTGTGCTCTTAAGCACTGAGACATCTTTGCAACCCCTCTTATAATATTTTTATGTTTTTAGTTATTAATATGTTCAGGTCAACTAGTTTATTTATGTATATGATTTGTTGAGGATTAAAATTTATTTTAAGTATTGTTGTTTATTGAGTCCTTAGTATGTTTCTGACTATTTGAAATGCCACATTACAGTATACGATTCCTTGCAAGTATAAAGTCTGCTTCTGGATTTTCTAGTCTACTTCTTCAATCTATTTATACGTTTTGTCACCACCATTGCACAGATTTAACTAGTGCCATTTGTAAGTACCACATCATAACTGATTGTACCACACAAGCTCCTAATTATATTAATTTTACAGAATGTTACCTCTCTATCCGTTGAGACAAACATTTTTTAAAAACTTGTTTTTTGTTTGTTTGCTTTTGTTTTTGTTTTGAGATAGGTTTTCTCTATGTAGCTCTGGCTGGCCTGGAACTCACTATTTAAATCAGGCTGGCATCAAACTAAACAGAAATCTGCCTGCCTCTTCTTCCTAGGTGCTAGTAATATAGGTGCCTGTGGTCACACCCAGCTTTCTAGCCTAAAAAATTTTTTTTTTCTTGGGTGTTCTAGCCCATGAATTTTAACATAGCTTGATAATGGTTTAAGTAATTCTTCTAGAATCTTATGAAATTTTATTGAATTTGAAGCTCATTTAGAGGAAAGTAGCATAAATACCCATCTCCATTTAGTGTGTATGATACATAGAGATAGTGAATGGTTAGTGAAACAAACACGTTTTCAGGTTTAGTAGTAGTCTCAAAGTCTGTACAATGATCTTGCCTGTAACCCTCATCTTGTGTATTAGAGTTATAGAACTGTTCATCTCACATATTTGATATTTTGGGTCCTCTCACCTTTTCTGTTCCCTCGCTCATTCCTAGAAACCATTGTTTTACCTTCTATTTCCACATTTGGACTCTACATATAAGCACATACCTACAGTCATACAGTGGTTTTCTTTTCTGTCTGTCTTATTTCACTTAGCACAATGTCCCGCAGCTCAAACACATTACATCAAATAGCAGGATCTCTTTATCTTCTAAAACTGAGTTATATTCCAGTATCTACTTCATCTATTACAGTCTGTTTCATTATCTATTCACTCATCCACAGGTACTGTGGTTGTGTCCATATCTTGGCTGTTTGGGTCATGCTGCAGTGAGCATAAGAGTGCAGATACCTCTACAATATGTGGCCTTCGTTCCTTTGTGTGTTCAGCAGAAAAATTGCTAGGTCATATGGAAGTTCAGGTTTCCAGTTCTTTAAAAACCTCCATGTTCTTTCTCATCATGATTGCACCAGCCTGCATCTCATCAACAGTGCACAAGGCTTCCCATTCCTCTACAAGTCTGCCAGCATTTGCGTGGTGTCACACGCCTTTAATCCCAGCACTTGGGAGGCAGAGGCAGGAGGATCTTTGTGAATTCGAGTCCAGCCTGGTCTACATAGTGAGTTCCAGGGCAGCTGGAGCTACAAGGAGACCCTGTCTCAAAAAGACAAAAAAAAAAATTGTGTGGGCCAGGCATGGTGGTGCATACCTTTAATCCCAGCACTGGGGAAGCAGAGGCAGGCAGATCTCTTTGAGACTGAGGCCAGTCTAGTCTACATAGTGAGTTCCAGGCCACCTGGAGCTACAGGGAGAAGCTGTCTCAAAAAACAAAAACAAAAAGAACCCCTAAACTCATGTGTGCTTTGTGTATGTGTGCTTGTGTAAATATGTGCTCATGTGTACAAGTTCATGGGTGTTCAGGTGCATGTTGTGTGTGGGTGTGCATGTACGTGTGGAGGCCAATGGTCACTCTTAGTGTCCTTCCCCAGGCGCCCTCCATCCTATTCTCACGGCCTGAGACTCACTGAAGAGGCTAGGCTGGCTGGTCAGTGAGCCCCAGGGAGTGGCTTCTTTCTGCTTCCCCAGCTCTGGGGTCTAAACATGTGCCACCCACCTGGCTTTTTATTTTTAATGTGGGTTTGGGGGAATCGAACTCATATCTTCATGCTTTAGCGACAAGTACTTTTACTGTCTGAGCTATTACACCAAGCCCCTCCCCAAATATTGCACTTAAGTATATGCAAACATTTTTTTCCCCCAGAAGCTTTATGCAGGCTGGAGAGATGGCACAGCCATTAAAGCTCAGGCTCACAACAAGTTTTTTGCTTTCAACATATGTGCATGTTTGTATGTGTATTTGAATGTGTGTATAATTCTGCCTGTTGAAAGTTTGGGTTATTTTTAAAAATTCTCATAACAGTGCTATATTTTTCTTAAGTGGATTTTTTTAGCTTATCAACTTGTACTTTTTGTTGATGTAATCTAAGCTCATCTGTACAATCTACTTTTTAGAGTTTTTTTGGGCTTTACTTTAATTCCTAACATTAAGTTAATTTTCCTAATGATGGCACAGGTACTCAGATAGAGTCTGCATTCTGATTGTTGGGCACAAAGTTTTATTTCTTAGTAATTGATTTACAATCGTATAAATTTGAAATAACCATAATATATGTTATCTAAATATTCAATAGCATGATTTTCAAAGTTATTTATGTGAATGTAGACTATGAGTTCTCCATGGCAACTATTCCTTCTGCAGAAAAGCAACTATAGACCATGGGTAAGTGGAATGACATGGTCAGAACTGATCCATAGATGACCTTAGATTGTTGATGTGTGTTTATTGTTTATTTATTTTACTAGTGGTGACTGAGAGGAGATATAATGCCTTATCCTTTGAAAACATCTATTAACAATGCAAGCTCTGTTCTGATGCTGCTTGGAATCTGGTAGTTGAGGAAAACGCCCATGACCAGCACCTTTCCTTATATGCTTGGGAACAAGTGGTTATTTTTTAGGTGACCAAAAAGAAACAGAGGCAAAAGGCAGAAAAGCCTTATTCAGAATTTTAGTCTAGCACTATTTTTAAAATACACCCTATACCTCTGGTTTTTAGCTTCACACCAAAAGATTTAGTAGTTAAAACTGAATCCTCTGATACTTTATGTGTGACTTAACATTTGAGTTTTCATGTATTAGTACAACTTCTTTTCTTCTGTCTATAGTGAGGTTCAAGAGCCAAAGAAATCAGCACCACCTTCTAAAACCTCGGCAGCTGCTCAGCTGGATGAGCTCATGGCCCACCTGAGTGAAATGCAGGCCAAGGTGGGTATAGCCTGGATGCTGGAGCCTCTGGCTTTCTGAGAGGCACTAAGTTGCTTCAGTGGAGCTCAGCCCTGCATCCCACAGCTTAGATATTCTAAGGTGGTATTCATTTCCCAAACTACATTGAATTCAGTGAAGAAACTAATTTGGGCAGGAAAGAAAACAGGGTATAGGCCTTGCTCTTGAGGAGATTAGAGCATGCTTGGGAAAATGAGCTGTAAGCCCCTGAAATATTTTTAGAATAAAAGGCAGGCAGTTTGCTAAAAGATGTGGTGGAAACCTTAGCGATTTTGAGAGGTTATATCAGAGAGATGAGCATAGGGTTTGGAATGGACCCTGAAGTATGGGTAAGGTCTGGGCACAAAAGGAGAGGTCTGTTGAATTGGAGAGAGCCCTGAGGGTATAGAGGCACCTGAGGTCTGATGCTGCTGAAGGTCAGTTAAAGACATTTGGCCACTGGACAAGCTGAGACAGAGCAAGGGAGGTCAAAGTAGGAAGGATGAGTCCTGAGCACATAGTGAGACAGAATCTGCCTCTTTGTTCTTGTCCACGGAGCATAAAGGGCAAGCTCATGTGCCCTGGCAGAGAATGGAAATCAGATAAGGAGGCCTAAGGATTTATCAAGGGAAAGATATCTAGAATTCTTTTTTTAAAATTTTTATTTTATGTGTATGAGTGTATTGCCTACATGTAAGTAAGTGCACCCATGTCGTACAATGCCCTCGGAGGACAGAAGAGGCCATCAGATCCCCTGGAACTGGAGTTAGGGATAAGTTGTTAGCTGCTATGTGGGTGCTGGGATTCGAACCCAGGTCTTCTGCAAGAACAACCAGTGTTCTTAACCACTGAGCCATCTCTCCAACCCAATATCTAGAATTCTTAATACAGATAATCTAACCAGTTTAAATCTGGTTGGAAATTATGATACATACCCATAAAGTACCCATGGAATAGTTCAAAGGCAGACTTTTACAGTGTATGTGATTGAGGGGTCAGGGACCTTGTCACCATGGGAGTGCTAATGTCCCACACAGTACCTATCTCATACTGAATAACATATTCATTACAGAAAAAATGAATAAAGTCACAAACAGTGTTCTCTGGTGGCTAATATTTGGTTAGTTAATATCTACAATAAAGTTGAGTAAATTGAAAAAATATATTAGGAAATTTACTATGTTGTGTTTTTAACTTAAAATGTATCTCTTTAAATTTTAATTTAAAAATGCATGTTTAAAAAATGAAAACTACATTTTCATGGTACAAAATCAAAAGTAGAAAAAAGTTTCTTCTAAACTGTTTCCATGTCATTTGTTCCCCAGTTGCCCCAATCTGCCCCCTGCAGGTCATCAGTGTATCTTGCATCTCACATGTATGTTCAGAAGTATTCTGGAATATGCAAGCCAAGAGATGTAAATGTACATACATTGTTATATTTTTACTTAGTTATTTTTTCAGAACTGATATCAATCTCTTTCAGTACCTTTGGCCCTTCACCTTTTGAACAGTTACCTCTCAAACATTACCTTCTATTATATAATAGAGGGGAAGAGAAACCTTTCAGAGGATCAGATTCTTGAAAGAAAATGAGCATAATGATTGGTGAGATAATGTGAAGTTATTCCAGGCAATGAAAATTGAATAACCACATCCCTGAAGGCAGACATCAGCAGATCATATTCAGGAGACTGTAGGACTGTCCCCCCAACCCCGACTTCAATAAGGAGGTCTTTTTCTGTGTTTAAATAAAAGACAAGATTGGAAAACTAAAGTGAGGGCTGTGGATGTGAGGCTTCGAACATTTGTCCGATGATCACAAATTTGATGGGGAAGCAATAGAGAGCCCCTGAGTGTTCTGATCAGGTAAACTTTAGGTGGATGGTAGTAGCAGCCCAAGGGACAGGAATATAAAACACCAGAATGAGGACATGGGGCAATGAAGGAAAAATGAGACAAGTTTGTAGTTTGAGGATCTCAAATTGATCATTTATAGGATCTGTAATGATTATAAGTGTTACTATAAATATTATATATAAGTATACATAATTATGACTCATAATTAGTTTGTAGATGTGTTTAAATAAATCCAATCCACCTGCAAGTCTGTGTGACTATTTCTCCCCACCTTCTCCCTTAACACTGGTCTAAATCATTCCATAATACTCTTTCTTGGCACCACCTGGTTCTCCATTCAGCTCATGGGAATGCTGAGTGTACTTTCATCACTCCTGTTTGAAATCCTTCAGTGGCTCCCTCCTCATCTTAGAATAAAACCCAAACTCTTGCCATGAGGGATCCAGGTGCTCTTTGTCTTTCTCTCTATCATCTTCTATATGGTGAATCTCAGTCCCTTTGCTCTAGCCCTTTGTATCTTGTGTTTACTTCTGTTTACAGACTGTCTACTTCTCTCCCTTCAGAATGATTGTATTTCTGGGTCCTTGAATATCTCTAAAACATATGCAGAATTATCTCTTCATGAGAGATGCCTTCTCTGATTAACCTTTCCTAAATAAGTTCTTTCTCACCTTTCATCATAGCTTTTCTTTATCCAAAACTGCAGACTGTTTATTATCTATTACCCACTGAAAAAAAATTCCATGAGCTCAGAAACTTGGACTGTCTTATGTATTGCTTTATAACAAGGATCTAGAATGGCACAAATGAGGTATTTAGCAATTAACAAATGAATAAATGATGACTAGTTATCACCTGGGGTCATTGTAAAAACTAGAATGGTCATCATCTTCACACTATATGTTTTTTGCAGACAAAAGATTTACAAATAGATGTAGATGAAGAATGGTCATACTTAATTTGCCTTGAGGAATGTAAAATGAAAGGGAAATCAAAGTGTTTTCATTGGGGTTTATGTTGGATGTCTCCAGTGCCTTGAAGGACATTAAGGGAAAGACCATGAGATCAGTCAGTGGAGGTGAACTTCAGGTTATACAACACATGTCAGTAGGAATGAAGGTGCATGCAGGCTTGCTCTCTCCATGACTCTTCCTTTGTACCAGGTTGCAGTGAAAGCTGACACCAGCAGGAAACATTCACCAGACAAGCGGGATTACACAGCGTCTCTGGACTCAATGCTTGGGGGTTTGGAACAGGAACTGCAAGATCTTGGGATTGCCACTGTGCCCAAGGGCCACTGTGCTTCCTGCCAGAAACTGATTGCTGGAAAGGTAGGGAGATCCTGGATGTTGATCCAACAGCGTCTGTGTCTGTGGATGCCCCAGGATGTCTCCTTCTTGTTAGGGTCTCCGGTATTTTAGTAACTGTTGATCATTGATCACTTACAACGCTTTGGGCACTGAGCTAAGTGCTTTAATAGCTCATTTAATAGCTCAATCAAGCTTTTATAGAGGTTTTATTATTGTTCTTTTTGCAAAAACAAGAAGCCATGAACTCAGAGACCTGGCAAAGACCAAGGTCTAGTAAGAGGCAGAGGCAGCACTGGAATCCAGGAGAGCCTGCCTCCCGAGTTTGAGTGTCTGTTCACTTTTCTATGCTGCCTTTACTGAGATAAGCTTTCTCACTGCTCCCCCTCTTTAAGCATTTTTGACATACATTTATTGATTGCAATTTTCAGTGGATTGTAACTTCAAATCCTAGTCAGAGTCTTGCTCTGAATGATCCACATAAAAATATCTTGAAGGGCTTTCAGATCTGATTCAGAAAGGACATGGGGTGAGGTGCTTAGAGCCGAGTAGTACTTGACCTCTTCATTAGTCAGGACAGTGTGTCCCTTTTACTGTCTTTGAAATGTGGCCACAGATGCAATGTAGGCCCAAGCCTCAGGACTGTGCAATGTAAGGGGTGTTGTCTACGTGGAGTGCAGTGTGCTCAGCACTCTCTACAGGTGTGAAACCTCTGGGCACTCTTGCATTCTGCTGGGTTCCCATGTCAGGCTCTGTTTTATCCCCAGGTGATCCATGCTCTGGGGCAATCCTGGCATCCAGAGCACTTCATCTGTTCTCACTGCAAGGAAGAGATTGGCTCCAGTCCCTTTTTTGAGCGCAGTGGCTTGGCCTACTGCTCCAAGGACTACCATCACCTTTTTTCTCCACGCTGTGCCTACTGCGCTGCTCCCATTGTGGATGTGAGTAACTCACCCCCCCCCCCAGGCTTTCCCATGGGTTTTCATCACTCATCATGAACCCTGGTCATGTCTGGCAACTCTGCCACCTTCTGATACCTCTCTTTGTGTCCCTATTCCAGAAAGTGCTGACCGCAATGAACCAGACATGGCACCCAGAGCACTTCTTCTGCTCTCACTGTGGAGAGGTGTTTGGTGCAGAAGGTAGGAGCTGGAGGCTACAGCCAACCCCATGAGTGGGTGTCAGGAAGGCCAGTGGCCCTGGTGTCTGTTCACTGCCGTGGCTACATTGATTGTGGCATCGCCACCATTTCAAGGTCTAGTTGTCATCTCTGTACCTTTCCCCAATTTTTATAATTTCTGTTTAAATTGATTTTTTAAATTTAGTTTGGTATTTTGTTTTTTGAGGCAGGGTCTCTATGTAGCACTGGCTGGCATGGAACTTGCTATGTAGACGAGGTTGACCTTGATATCACAAAGATCCACCTACTTCTGCCTCCTGAATGCTGGGATTAAAGGAATATGCTACCACACCCATCCTGTTTTTAAGAACAGATACTATACTTGATCTTAGCTAAAAGGCCTAAGAATAATAATTTTTGTTTAAACTGATTTTTAGTTAAAAAAGTGAAAATTCATCATTTAAAGACAGTTACTGGGCTGGGGGATGGTCCAGTGGGTGAAGAGCTTGCTGCACAAATGTGAGGACCTGAGTTCGAATCTCCAGGACCCATATAAAAACCGGGTCTGGCATGTTTGTAATCCCAGTGCTCCTACCAGGAGGTGGGAGGCAGAGACAGGAGAATCCCTGGAAACTTTCAGAGCCCCCACCCTAGAGTACAAGGTGCAAACAGAGAGACCCTGTCTCACACATGGTGGAAGGCAAGGACCAACACCTGATGTTGTGCTCTGACGTCCACATGTGTGTTGTAGCACATGCATGCTTGCACTCACACAAACATTCACATATACACATCACACACACACACACACACACACACACACACACACACAAATACCTCTTGTCCTAGTTTGTCTCTTCATTGCTGTGACAAAACACTCTGACCACTACCAGCTTGGGGAGGAGAGCATTTATTTGTCTTACATCTCACAGGTCACAGTTCATCAGGGAGCCCAAAGTAGGAACTCAGGGAAGGAACCCGGAGTCAGGAGCTAGAGCACAGGCCACGGAGGAACGCTGCTTACTGGCTTGCTCCTCTGGCCCCTGCTCAGCCTGCTTTCTTATCCAACACAGGCCTACCTGCCCAGGGGTGTCACCACCCACAGTGGGCTGGGGCCTCCCACATCACTCAGTAATAAAGAAGATGCCCCACAGACATGGCCACAGGCCAGTCCTATGGAGGAAATTACCCAATTGAGGTTCCCTCAACCCAGGTGTATCAAGTTGACACTAAAGCTATCCACACACCCCTATTCAAGGGTGGTATGAAAAAAAGCAAGGCCTTGCTCTTCCTTTCCCTAGTCCTCAAACTATTTTCCTCTCCAAATTTGTTCTGTTATTTGTTTTAAATAATAACATTACTATAGGATGTTTTAATTTTTACCATTATATATTGACTTTCTACCAAAGAAGATGAGACTCAGAGATATTACTTCCTGCTTCACCCGGGCATACACTTCCCTGCTCTCATTCTCTCACTATGGGATGTGTCATAAGCAGGCTACATCAGTATTTAATGCATACATGTTTATAGCCATGCATATATTCCTCACAATAAAGCTATTTAGCAAACCATGATTACGGTAGAGCATTCATGTTGGAGACAGACTACTAGGGCTAAACTTGTACTGTGGTATTTATGAGTTGTGGTATTATGTAGTTGAAGTCATTTAACCATTCTGCACCTCAGTTTGCTTAAAAGTAAACTAATACTAGTGACTACCTTATAAGGTTGTGATGAAGATCAGGAACAGCACATGCAGAGTATTGGGAATGGTGCTGACATATGGAAGTAAGATGGTGACTAATATAGTATCCATTTTTCTTTTGGTGTTAATGCTGGAATCCCTTTCCCCCAGCTTAGTTTTCACCGTGAATTATTAACTTACTTAAAAGAACCGTGAAGTCTTTCTCAAAATAGTCAAGCACATCTGATAGTAAGTCAGCTCCTTTTTCATGTTCTTGGGGATATCCTGGTGGGACAGTTCTGTCCTCCTGCTCTAACCAGAAGGGCTTTCTTCCTGCTAGGCACCAGCCATTCTGGTCCATTGTTTAGATACCATTGATGCAATGTATTTTACTGCCTTTGTCTTTGGATCCTTGCTTCTTGGATCTCTCTCTCTCTCTCTCTCTCTCTCTCTCTCTCTCTCTCTCGTGTGGAATTGTCACTCCCCCCATACCCATTGGGTCTGTTCTTAC